GTACATTTATAGATATAAAAATTTCCCATGTAAAAAGCAAAACAAGTTGTTTTGATTAGGTCTTAATAAATGAGATTATTTTGGATAATGAATGAATTTTCAAAAAAGCATTTTAATCCAAAAAGATTGTGTTGAAAAGAACAAAAGGTAAAATAAGTGAGCTATGTAGAAGTTTCCCAGAAAGAGCAGGTAGCCTTTAAACTGCTAGACAGGAAATAAAATATATATTTATATTATAATAATAAAACCATTTTATAATTATTTAATAAAACAGTTCTTTACTTTAATTTGTAAAGAGAGCTTTAGGGTGGCAGGATCAATGATGATGATTATTTTATTACAAGTCTGTAAGACTTATTTAGGTTATTCACTAAAATATACACTAAAATATATCATTTAAATCGTTCATGGAGATGAATGCAGTAAATTATCTGTAAAAAAAAAAAGTTAAAAATAAACCTGTGCAAACAAGCTAACCTTTATAACCAGATTATTTAACAAAAGATGATTACTGCAGTAAAATATTGGTAGTCTTTTAATAAGCAAGATGTGTACAGGATAGAGGGTGTGAAAAGTGAATTGTTTGTTTTGAAACTTTTGAATCGGAATTTGTCCAATTATAAACCCGAAATACACGTGTTTGTTGTCATGTGGTGAACTCGGCCAATCGTGTAATATCGGTGTCGTCATCAAAGCTCCTGCAGTCGCTCTTCAGAAGCTGCACGGTCTGAGTTTGCCGTCTGATCTCGGAGCGCTGTCGCGGTACTTTGATGCCACATGTGACAGTCACGCGGCGTCGGCGCAGCATCAATCCGGACAAGATTTCCAACCAGAATGCACCGCTTTAAGACAGATTTCGATCGATCTGCGCAGCGCTGCATGAAGTCGAACGCACCTAATGCCTCGGAATTGATTCCTTTTTGGAATCGACTCTTAATTCTCAATGCCTCAGAATTGATTCTTTTTTGGAATCAACTCTTGATTCTCAATGCCTTAAAATGGATTATTTTTTGAATCAATGATTGATTTTCAATGCCTCAGAATTGATTCTATTTGCAATCGACTCTTGATTCTCAATGCCTAAGAATTGATTCTGCTTGGAATCATAGCTATTGAAAATCAAGAGTCGAATTGATTTTTATGGAATCGACTCTTGATTCTCAATGCTTCAGAATAGATTCTTTTTGGAATTGACTCTTGATTCTCAATGCCTCAGAACTGATTCTTTTTTTTTAAATCGACTCTTGATTTTCAATGCCCCAGAATTGATTTTTTTTTTTAATTGACTCTTGATTATCAATGCCTCAGAATTGATTCTTTTTTGGAATCGATTCTTGATCCTCAATGCTTCAGAATTGATTCTTTTTGCATTCGACTCCCAGTCCTACAGGTTTTAAACTTCACAAGGGTGAGTAATTAATCACAGAAGAGTTTTTGGGTGAACTATCCCTTAAAGACTGATTGTCGCCGCCGCAGGCTCTTCCACAGCATATGTGTCCCAAATAAAGAAATATGCTGCCTGTTTGAGGAGCTCCATTAATCTTTCTTCTCCTGCTGGCTGGGAGCAGAAGTTGTCCATCTCCGGCCGCGTCTCGCAGCACTTATGACTGTGAGAGTTTGTCTCGCAGAGCAGAAAATGTCTTGTTTACTTTTAGCCGCTGTTGATTGAGGCATTTTGCATTGAGCGGCTCAAATGAAGAGCGAATATAGGAATAGAGGAGGCAGGTAATGATGCGGAGGACAGAAACTGATCTGCCACATTAAAGAGAGGCATTCAGACTGCTGTCATGCTCTGCTCCAGACCGGATGCTGAATCTCCATGCATCTGTTTTACAATTAATGCCATTGACTCTTCTCCTGAGAGCTCGGTGGCTCAGTGGTTAGCACTGTGGCCTCACAGCAAGAAGGTCGCTGGTTCAAGTCCCGGCTGGCTCAGTTGGCGTTTCTGTGTGGAGTTTGCATGTTCTCCCTGTGTTGGTGTGGGTTTTCTCCGGGTGCTCCGGTTTCCCCCACAGTCCAAACACATGCGCTATAGTGGAATTGATGAACTAATTGGCCGTATTGTATGAGTGTGTGTGTGTGTGAATGAGTGTTTCCCTGTTCTGGGTTGCAGCTGGAAGGGAATCCGATGTGTAAAACATATGCTGGAATAGTTGGTAGTTCATTCCACTGTGGCAACTCCTGATAAATAAGGGACTAAGCCGAAGGAGCTCTGTGTGTGTGTGTGTGTGTGTGTGTGTGTGTGTGTGTGTGTGTGTGTGTGATCTCATTAACCGGTGGAGCTGCTCATTAACCCCCAGCAGACGCTCTTCACCTGCGCTCGGTTCACTCTTTCACCTGTTCAGGAGAGTCCGTCCATACACACACACACGGCATCTTTCACTGTCTGTGACCTCCAGATGTGTGTGTGTGTGTGTGTGTGTGTGTGTGTGTGTGTGTGCGCGTGCGTGCGTGTGTGTGCGCCCCCTGTCGGCAGAATGAATGTGATTTCAATTCTTTTATAAAATATAGTATTAATAATTACATTGGTGGCACGGTGGCTCAGTGGTTAGCACTGTGGCTTCACCACAAGAAGGTTGCAGGCTCAAGCCCCGACTGGGTCAGTTGGAGTTTCTGTGTGGAGTTTGCATGTTCTCCCTGTGTTGGCGTGGCTTTCCTCTGGGTGCTCTGGTTTCCCCCACAGTCCAAACACATGTGCTATAGGGGAACTGAACAACTAAATTGGCCGTAGTGTATGTGTTTCCCAGTACTGGGTTGCAGCTGGAAGGGCATCCGCTGCATAAAACATATGCTGGAATAGTTGGCGATTCATTCCACTCTGGTGACCCCTGATGAATAACGGACTTAGCCGCATATGTGAATGAAGGAATTAATATGTTTATATATTAGACTTCAATAATAATAATAAAAATAATATACATTTAAATAATAATAATACAAATAACAACTAACTATGTTTTATTATTATTATTGTTATTATTATTATTATTAGTAGTAGTAGTAGTGGTAGTAGTATTTTTATTATTATCATTATCATTATTATACTTTATTGTTGTTTATTTTAACCTAACAGATAACAGAAGCATATGTCTAATTTAAAGTTTTTTATTTTTTTAGATGTAGTTTATTTTTTTCCAGTGTATATATATATATATATATAGACTCACAGGCCACTTGATTTAATACACCTTACTATTTCCGGGTTGGAACCGCTTTTGCCTTCAGAACTGCTTTAATCCTTCATGGCATAGATTCAACAAGCTGCTGGAAATATTCCTCAGAGATTTTGCTCCATATTGTCATGATAGCATCAC